CACACCCACACCCACACCCACACCCACACCCACACTCACACCCACCCATACCCACACCGACACCCACACCAACACCCACACCCACCCTCGTGGTTAATCGTTAAGATTTCAGAAAATCACAATAAATCATCCAAACTTTGGTGGTTTGAAAAATATGAGTGGTTTTCTTTTAAAATCTGAAGTAGATAAAAGGATTATAAAGCTCACTTGAAATACTAATGATAGAGAGCAGAAAGAGACTGATAAATACGAATATCGGAAAGAAATTCCGCAGAGAATCTGCAAGCATTCGTGCGGGTTTAGTCGAAATACGGCTGGGAACGTTATTCAACGCACGAATAAATCCTGACAGTAGACCAGAAGAACCTAATATGGCAAAAATGATAACTATTATAACTTTCATGTCAAGATATTGTTTTACTGGGATATTCATTCTATTATGATATGATTGTAATCCGATTAGCGTTCTGATAAATTGAATGGAATTTAACAACGTAGTTGCCCGAAAAAATATCCATCCGAATGAAATTACGCTCAATGCATAGATATGTTGGAAAACTCGTGGAATTTTGTTTAATATCGACGTAAATATAATTGTCCGTTCTAATGCGAGGAATATTCCATGAAATAGACCCCATATGATAAAATTCCAACTAGCACCGTGCCAAAGACCACAGAGGAAAAAAACGGTCAAAAGATTTAAACGAACTCTACGTTCTGAAACTCGATTTCCACCAAGTGAAATATATAGATAATCGCGAAACCAACTCGAAAGTGAAATATGCCATCGTCTCCAAAATTCTCTTATTGATCGAGATACATACGGATAATTGAAGTTTTGAGGAAATTGAACGCCAAATATATGAGCAAGACCGATAGCCATGTCTGAATAGCCAGAAAAATCACAATAAATTTGTAGTGTATAAGTCATCAAGCCAAGCCACGCATGCGAAGTATCAAGTTTTTCTAGCGGCAAGTTGAAAATTACATCTGCTACGGCACCAACTGTGTTCGCTATAAGCATCTTTTTTGATAGACCAATTGTGAATTCCATAGCTCCTTGAGCAAATTGTTTACAGTTGAATTTTCGCTTCTCAACCAATTGTTGTGCAACATCGTGATAACGCACAATAGGACCAGCTATTAGCTGAGGGAAAAATGAAAAATATAGACCTAGTGTTACTGGATTAAATTCTACTTGAACTTCATTCCGATACACATCAATAATATACGAAAGACCGTGAAAAGTAAAAAAAGAGATACCAAGTGGTAAATGTATTGTGGGAGTCTTTGAAGTGGAGGTCACCTGTGGTAAAGTAATTATATTTAGAATCTCCACGAGAAAATTCGTATACTTGAAAAAAATTAACAAAATCAAGTTTCCACTGACTGATACAATAAGGAGCCAGCGAAGTCTTTTTTCATCCATCTTCCTTCGTAAATAGAACATTCCTAGGGCACTAAAATAGTTCATTGTTATTGATATGAGCATTACTATAATATATATAGTCTCATCCCAGAAATAGAAGAATAAACTAGCCAAGCATAGCCAGCCATTCCGACGTTTGAGCTTAATTATAAAATTAATCCATAAAACGATCGGTAAAAACAGGAACAGAAATGTAGGAGATGTAAATAGCATTGTGAACGAAAAATATTAACAGGCACTGGCAATGCTTTATTTCTGCTGCATAACTTCCTTCATGCTCGATAGAAATAATCACTCATACTTCTCGAAGAAATGCAACAGTCTTGATATACTTGATACAAATATTCTGTAATAAAATGTATTATAGTCAATCTTTGGAGCTTTTAGCTAAGTTATTGACTTTTTAGCGTTTTATTTCGTCGTTAAGAAATCACCAGACGACCTAAATAATTTTCAAACCTACAAAAATTACAAAAACGGTGCTAGCAAGAGCGTGAGACGGCTTGTCCGCGTAACGCGACACTTCGCCGATAAAGTTTTTAAATTTTTTTTTCGAGTTGAACAGATTTGAATAAGCTATTAGACGTCGTTTTTAACGTTAATTACGAATCTGAGATTTATTTTGTAAAAAAATCAGATTTTCTCAGCAAAACCTGAGTTTTAAACTTTTGAAAAACCGTATTTCGAGTTTTCTACCCAAGAAAGTTTTCCAAAAAATTTCCAGAGACATACCATTCAATGTAGAATTGGATTCTCTACAAAATGGCCTATTTAGTTTTGATTTTAATAGCTGGTAGCAACTTTTAATCTCTAATACCCTCCCCAACTTCTTGTCCAGTTTTTGAGCTCCCTCGTGGATGAATTAGTCTGATTCTTTAGTAAACGTTTATCTACACAGTAATGAGTAACCGTTAAAAAATTCAAATCATTCGGACGATATTAACTACCTCAAAAATGACTGGCAAAAAAGTGTGTAACAGCGTTACGTTTATTTTTTGCATTTTTCACACAAATAGAAATAGCTATAAGAAATTTTTTTTGGTTTTAAAAAGCTCGTTCAAACCTCTACAAACGTAGTTCGAAGAACATTTCTTTTGAACAAAATATATCGCAAGAAATTAGAGTTTTCTTGGTGGTACTGAAGAATAAGGGTCTTTTTATGTAACAGTATTAGGCGACAATGTAAGCCTTATAGACATCCAAGGCTTCAACAAAAAAATATCTTTTTATAGAATAAGTACAGTTCGATAAGCTGCATCGAATGGCTTTTTAACGAACGCTCCAGCTATTACAGTTTCCGAGATAATTGAACAGGAATGTGTCAAAAACGTAACAGCGTTACGTTTGGACAAGCCGGAGAACTGATCTAACCGGACCTGATTGAACTCAAACTACCCATGTCGTCAAAATCGGAGGGAAAACGATTATTTAATCGCGATTTAGCACTCGATTAATTGTGAGATTTACCGCAATAAAATCGACCAATTTGGCGATCTTTCCCGATATATCGAGTTTTTTGTGTACTCAAAAAGTGAGTACACTACTAGAATCAGTCAGTGTCTCCGGCCGGCCGGCCGTTCATACGATAACTTGTGAAAGGCTAAGTCGATTGTCATGAAGTTTTGTGCATAGTTTAGTCTGATTGAGATCTCGGTCGAGCTCGAAGATGAGCCTAATTGGCCGGGCCATTCCCGAGTTATTGAAAAAATACTGATATTTCCCTATGATTTTTCTATATTTTTTTGGAGGGAAAAATAATATAATGCCATTCTCGTAAGCACTTTTCTAGCAGAGTCAAATAAAATTCCACTTATTATATAGCATTCAACAGAGAATTTCACAAGCTACAAGATGGTCTAAATTATAGGGGTAAACGGGTTGCACACAAGATTGTTCCTGTATAACAGAGTGGGTAAACTATAGAAAACTCATATATGTTGATAATGTGTCAGTGCGGTATTTGTTTGTTTTTTTTCATATTACTAATCACAATTTTTCTAGAGTAGATAGAACTCGTTAAGAGCATGAAAATGATGTAAAGTAATAGGGGGTAATATGCTGCGTTCGACATGTCTTTAGTATCATACTTGTGAGAAACCATAAAAAAGCCATATACCTTAACAGTGTCTCTGTGTGATATTCGCTTGTTCTCCGTAGAGTTAATGTTATTTTTATGTACTCGAAAAGTGAATTTCACGATAGATTGATGTTGATCAATCTGTCTAAAAGAATTCATCCTTGAGAGCACTAAGGAACTGTCCCTTAGTCCCTGCGGGTGCTCTTTTTTTAGTGTACTCAAAAAGTGAGTATATTACTAGAATTGATCAGTGTGTTCGGCCAGCCGTTTACACAATACCTTGCGAAAGGAAAGTTAGATATTGATAGAATCTTATACACAATTTAGACTCATAGAGATCTCGGTCGAGTTCGAAGTTGAGCCTGATTGGACGAGCTATTCCCGAGTTATTACAAAAATACCGATACTTTCCTATGATTTCCATATACACTTTTTGCAGTACACATAACTCTCGGATACAATCCGAAGTTTCCACATTTATTTTCTTCTCAATTATACAATTAAAAAGAAGGTTATTATTATATTGCTGTAAAAAATATTTAGGAAGAAAATTATAAAAACTAAATACTACGGTATTTTTAATTATTGAAAATTATGTAGAGAGCGCCGTGTGAAAATACCGATTGTTATTTTCTGATATATGTTTACAAGTGAAGTAGCAATTTAGTGCTGTCTATTTTAGTGAATTCAAGAACTTTTTTCAATATAATATAAGTAAATAATATTTAAAACTTAGAAGAGTGAATACAAAGGAAATTCAATTAAAATTGGTTTCATGATATATATGAAATTATGTCGATTTTATTATCTTTTTTCGTTAATAATTAAACTGAGCAACAATCTAAAACTGTTGATTAAGATATGTATCAACGAATTTTTTTTGTAATTGAAAATAGTCATTGCTTTCTCCAAATTGTTCAGGACTCGATACATAGTTGTTGCCTTGATTAGCATTTATTTCATTAAATGTTAACGATAAAAAATTATCCATTTCAAATCCATGAGGATACAAAAACTTAAAACCTCGTTGCGAATATTTTTTTAATGCGAACTGCTGCACGTTTTAATGTATGAATGTTGTTTGTTAGATTATAGCAAATAAACGTACTAGTATTTATTGACCAAATCCATGCCCATGTGCAAACAACTTTACGTCCATTATAAGCAATTTGAGCAATGTCGAGCTCAAATGCCATTAAATATGTTTCTATCGATAAAAGTTTTGGATGATAGATGAATTGTAATAAAATTTTCTTTTGACTGGTGGATTCTTGTATTAATTCTCTTATTGTAGTACATAATATTAATTCTCTTTGATATACTCGTTCTCTTGATAGAATAGTATTTTTCGTAAAATAGATATTGCTTAAATTATGTTGAATTGTTCTCTATAAAACAAAATCAAATATTCCAATGTTTATTTTTGAATGTTTTTAAATACTATTGTTTGAATAAAATTATTGAAAGAATGACTGACATAAAAGAAATCAAGATCAGATGTCATAGTTTCTGGTACATCGTGTAAAATAGACATCAAAACTGAACCACCAAGCAAACTAAATAAATTAAAATTGATGAATGGAGCTATTTTATTAAATGAGAATCGTTGTGTAAGATTATAATGAAAATCTTGAAATGCTGTAACAATTTGTGGAGGTGTTGGTGGAATTTCACCGTATAAATGGAAAAAATTTAGTTCGTGAGATGTTAACAGATCAGGCTGTAATACAAATAGAGAAAAATGATAATTTATACTGATTGGTGTTATATATTGAAATATAAATCGTTAAAAGTATAGGCTGTCAAAAATATTATCTTTCGTTTCATTGTTAATATATTCGCTCAGTTATTAAAATATAAAATTTAACAATTATTACAGAGAGAATATCAGTCTATTGATAAATAGAATAGCAATACTAAAGTGCATCGCATCGTATTTTTAAAGTTTATAGAATAGTATGATTATTTTTATAGTGTAACTCAAATAAGATGAACATTGATTACGTATGAATCTATACATAATTTTCTACAATAAAACTATATAAAATGTATATCTTCTATAAACGTAAAGAATTTTTGTATAGAGAGGGATTCAAGTGTAGATAATATTTCTTTTTGAAAATTTGAGTTAGGATAGCTCACGCAAAAATGTGTTTATAATTTCATCATAATGTTGTATATTCCTATAATTATAATATCTATAGAGCTTAAGTATTCATTTTAATTAAATAACTATAATATTTTATAAATTCATGAAATACACTGCTTTATGGATTATAGAAACAAAAATTTTGTAATCAATTTCTTCAACTAAATTTTTTATTTATTAATGTATATAAATAAAACTTACATGGTACATCAAAAATATTGACGAGTGTATATTTTGGTCGATAAATAAAAGAAGAATACGAAAATAATCGAACATATAAAGAAAAAAGATTGGTAGAATAATATGCCCAAACTTTATTTAACGTATTAACATCGAATGACCGTGGTAGAATATAAGGCCAGGAAACTGTCAAGTTCTCTATACATAAACATTCATTTATTTCAATATATTTAGAATAATTTCTTATTATTGAGCGAAATAATTCAGTTAAATTAATTTGAGATGATGACCGTAGCATGGTGGCGAAAGTTTGTTCATTAAGAACAAGAAGTTCCTTGTAAATGATGCTAGCTTTCAATTGATCATGACAAACTAAATATTTATTAATTAAATTATGAATGAAAGTTGATGGTAAATATTGATAATTCATAGATTATTTAGCTGAGAATTTATTTATTAAATAATGAAAATTAAATAGAAAGCATAATGCAAAATTAAACGAAATAGAAATATATTAGATAATATTAAGCAATGCGCCAGTTATGTTACCAATAGTATGAATTTCGAACGAAATGAAAATGACAGTTTTCGTTAAAAAAATTAATTTAATTAGATTACAAGTACCCGTCTTAAATCGTTAGAACAAAACTATGTACTTCGTTATGAAATTATTTGTATAGTCATAACTTCCAAGTAGTCAGTGACAAAATATGATGTCATGTAAAACAATGACAGAAGTAAAAATTTTACGGAATTATGGACTGAACATCATATATATAGATATAAGTCGTTTCATATACGAGTGTCTGATAAAAAGTTGAGACATGTCTATTTTCGTGTAGACAGATACGACTTATGTAATAGTTTTTAGTAAATGCTATTTATAGTTGAATTTATACGGATAATGTAAAGAAATATTTGCATCCAAGTATATTTAATAATGCCAGTATTTAATCTTTGACTGTTTTGAAATAAACAGTGTAAATGTAAATACTACAGCATATTTTTATTTGATAAGAATGGTTAAGAAAAAGATTAAGACAATTTTTTTTGTCGAATATAAGAATAATACAAATGCAACATTTTTTACAAATAAGTAATGCAATAATCGTTTTTTCATCATCAACTCCTAAGTTTTCATTTTTAGTATCATCGTAAGAGTTATTTTAAAATTTATTGAAATAGATCACTTATTGGTAATTATAATTAATTGAAATCAAAAAACGTTGACTGTTCGCCTTTTAAAATAGACGTGCTCTAGTATTTAATTAATTCGTTTATTTTATGACTGTTATCTTTTATGTTTTATATTAGATAGTAAGAGTTGATATTCATTCATTACATATTCATATTTCATTAATGGAAGAAGAACCGAATGAGATAGATCAGTTCGACTTAGAAGAATCTACAACTTTGGAAAATGAAGAATCAAGAAAAATAAAAATAAAAAAACGTAATAGTAGGAATTCCAGACCGTCTCAAAAGAACAAGAAAAATCGTAATTCAAAACTATCACAAAAGAATAAGAAGAATCGATATACTAAACCACCAGCTCAAATACGTAATACAACTCAACTTGAAAGGGTTGAAGAAACAAATATTTTATTCCCGTCAGAATCAAATTGGTCTATTTTTCATCCGCCGATAGAAGAAAATTTTGAAAGTACACAAATACATGATGTTTTAAAAGAAAGGTTTTTTTTATAAACAATTTATTTTTTTTTATTAACAATAACACGATTCTATAGATATTTTTCGGCAATCTTTCAGGCTTGGTGTGCATGCACTTGTTGTACTTGCTTGTATTCTAAAAACAAATTGTTAGTTGCCTCTTCCAATCACGAATTGTATCATGATGTGCTAAAAGGACAATTATTATGTAAAAAATGCATTGATTTTACACCATCAGCTAAACATTATCACTGTCCATATGCCTCTTATAGAAATAAATTACAAATTTCAATAATACCAGAAGATTTGATATTAGGTTTCATGGAACAGCGAGCAATTACATTAACACATGTTTATATGAGTATTATTATTATTCGTGGTCATCAAGCAGCTCTCAAAGGACAGGTCGTTCATTTTCATGTTGATACAGATGTAACAGTTGAAGATTTATTACCATTTCCACGATGTTACGAATTTTTAGCAGTTGTACAGGAGAAACCAATAAAAAATAACCAGGTTACTACAACTGTTACTTATTCATTTAGTCCAGTACATGTATTAAAAGCTTTGAATTATTTGAAGCAACATAATCATTTATATAAAAATAAAAATATAATGAAACTACATGAAATTCAAGAAATGTTTAAATGCCAACCTGAAAATATTATACCAATTCGAATAATTGATAGTTACGCTTATAATAATTCTACAACAAATTCACCAATTATTGACCCATCAGAAATTTTATCTGGTCCTAAGTATTAATTTATATTCAATAGAATATATTTTATTTGAAGTTTTTAGACGAGTAATTCCATGTGCTGAAAATCCAACGTGGCAAATAGAACCTTATTTAGAAGAAAAATGTTATCCATGGTTATATCCACTTGGAAAAGGTGGTGAAGCAGATCCTGAAAGACCAATTGCTATCAGTCTAAGAGATTATTATAAATTACGATTAAAAAGTAATGATAATCGGTGGCAAAAAGATCCAACATGGGTATTTCGAGCTTTGAATATGTTACAAAGAGAAGATTTACGTAAATCAGTTAATTATCATGCTAAAAGAAAGTATCGAGATGGGAAAATGTGTTATTTAATTTATCCAGGTAATTTGAATTAATCAAGTCTAAACGTAAATTCTGTGAATTTAAATCTAAAATGAGACGTAGATGAAAAGTTGATTTTATTTGTAGGAGTATTTCATTTCATTCTATATTTACAACATACATTGATGAGATGTGTGTTAGACAATAATAGATTATTTTTAAAAAAGTATATTTTAATTCCTAGTAAGTGCGTTAAAATTTTTTAGCCTCTGACCACATAATAATATATGTATTAATGTTACAACAGTATACTGTTGTGACAATGTCTCACTAGGTATTATTGTATATGTAACACTATGAAATCCTCTGCTAACCAACCGCCTTCAGTAATGTAGTGTACTGTAATAATTAGTTGCGATACGTCTTGGTATATGAGAGGTAGTTAATGAATAATTTTTTTTTGTTTTTATAGCTAAGTATTCATTTAGATCTATTTTAAAATAGCAAATAAATATAAGGTTGATAATTAAAAATGTCAAGCCTCATTATAATATTTGTGTGTATTAGATATAGGTGTGGTTATTCGTGGTTCAGCTGCATATTGGGCGAAAGCTCGGCGTCATTTACGATCGATGTATGCTACTCTTGGGAAGCCCTTTATTTTCTTATCCATAAGCCTGCAAGATGATGTAGAATTTTTAACAACTATAGATCCAAATCGATTCGGTACTGTACATAATCCAAATTGCGAAGCAATTGATAATTTAAGTGATGATGAATATTTAATATTAATAAATGAAAATCCAGGACTTGTCGCACGAATGTGCAAACGGCGTATGGTAGCTTTCGAAGATTATATTAAAGATAAAAAACATCCGTTTCTTATTGATTTTGTTGTGACTCAGTATTTTTTGAAGACAGAATTTCAACGAGGTGGTTTACCTCATCTACATGCCCTTTTATGGGTTGACAATCCTTCTTCTCTTGATACACTCGAAGGTCGTACAACTATACTTGATTTTGTGGACAAATTTCTTTTTACTGATCTGCCCGATCGAAATACTGAACCAAAACGTTACAAATTAGTTCGAAAAAATCAATACCATATGCATACATTCACTTGTTATACAAGTAAAAAAGCAGTCAACTCTTGTTTTTTTTATAAATTTCTATTTGTGATAGATAAACCTATTATACGAATTCGAAGAGGAAAAAAAGAATTAAAAAATGAACAAAAGAATCCAATAGATTTTAAAACAGATCAAACTAGTAGCATAAATCGTAGTCAAGAAAATGACATTTATGAAAAAGTAGATGCAAATATTGATCCTGATCTAATTGATACAAGAGTTGAAAGACGAGAATTTTTTGAACGAGCAAAATGTCGATTTGGTAAACCTGAACCTTTAGCTGCTAAGACCCACTTTCGAACACATAAAGAAGCAAGGATCTTAACTCGTGGTGATCGTGATATTATTATTAAAAGAACAACTGAAGAAGTAAATATTTTGTATATTCTGTATGTTAATAAATAATTATTCTGATTTATAATTAGTCAAGACGAATTGTTCCTTATAATATTAATTTACTTGAAACATTCAAATGTAATCATGGTATACAAATTATAACGGATCCTTGGGCAGCAGCTGAATATCTTTTTTCTTATGTTAGTAAAGAAGCTCATATGGAGAAAGATCTTGTACAACAATTAGCTGGTTGTTCCGCTTCAACACTTGAAGAAGCGAGAAGAGTTTTGTTGAAAGCAGGTAATGCTGTGTTATCACATAGACAAATTGGAAAAGTCGAAGTAGCTTGGTTAATTTTGGGTAATATAATCTTTTTTAAGTATCTTAAATATTTTTTAATGTGTAAGGCATTCCACTGTATCGATGTTCAATGGCTACTGTTCATTTGTATATATCTTTACCATGTCATGAAGATCGTTTACTTCAAATATTAATATAGATGTAAACTCTGTTAGTGAGCATGATTTTATTCAAACTATAATTCATCGATATTCAAATCGACCTAGTATACCCGAAATTATTAATGATTTAACGTTATTTGAATTTGCAATTTGGTTTTCAACTGATTATACTTCGTCGAATTATGAAGAAAGTGAAAATAATACATTAACACCTAATCCATTATGGAAGACAAATTATAATGAACCACCATTATTAAAAACATCAACACATTTTCCACGTATTATACTAACATCGGGTCAAACAATGCGTCAGCATCGAAATGGGAAGTGTGTCACATTTACCTGTCTACATGATGATACTGCACAATCGATTTATAGTTTATTGTGTTTAAATATTCCTTTTCGTGATCCCGTACTTGAGTTTTTAGGTGGTAAAGAAGGTGTTAAACATATATTATATTTTAATATCCTATTTATAAAATATACTTTAGAACCAGAAATATATGATCTTCATCAAATACTGGTACAACATCATCATCAAATTTCTGCTCGTATTTTAACATTACCTGAATCATATCGAATTCAACTAAGTAATCTTCTTGATCATTTACTACATATTGATAAAGAAAATTATATCATTAATTATCGTGAATCTTTTATATTTACCAATGCAATTGAAAATGATGATGATGATAATGATGTATTATTTAAAACACGAAGTGATAAAAATGATAAGGATTCGTTGGTAAATAATGAACATCAATTATTTAAAAATATTGATACTAATACAAGAGCAGAATCTGAAACGACAACACATTTACAAAATACAGCAAATCCTCAACAAAAATATCTTCTTGATTTTTTACAAGAATATTCTAATCATCTAATGCAACATTCTAGACGTCCAACATATGTAGTAAAACCGAAACCATTTCATATTGTTGTGAATGGTCTTGCTGGATCTGGTAAATCTTATGTAATATCAATAATTGAAAAAATGATTCAAGAGTATTGTATATCTGAATCGGCTACAGTTTCACGTCCTCGAAAAAATCTTGGATTACTTAAAATGGCACATACAGGTAAAGCAGCATTGAATATTCATGGATCCACTATACATTCTGCTCTTGAAATAGTAAATATATAGAGATTTGTTACTATTACATTGAATAATAATCTTATTTAGTGTCCAGATGGTAATTCATCATCAAATAAAATAAATTCTTTTAAACTTTATACATTAAGAAATCGATTAAATGGATTATTATTAATTATAATAGATGAAATTTCACTCGTTTCCCATGGATTATTTCAAAAGATTAATAAACGTTTAAATGAAATATTTCGTACATTCGACAAATCTGATACTTATTTTGGTGGTATACCTGTTATTGAATTTGGTGATATGGCTCAGATTGAGCTTGTCGCTGCCAAACAAGTATTTTATCGTCCATCGGGTGAATTATTTTCTTTGTGGCATGATTTATTTCGCTCTATAAATTTTGATATTAACATGCGACAAGGTAATGATAGACTTTTTTTTTGACTGTTTATGTCGAATGCGAATGGGTATGTTTTATCTTATCGAATATTGTAATTATAAATTGCCTATGAGTTAGGATGTTTGGATGACCAAAGTGAGATATTACTTAAATCTAGAAGTATTCGTGAACAAGATAATCCTGAAGGTTTTAAAGATCGATTAAAAGAATTGAATTCATCAGAATTTGAAGATGCCATGTATGCATACGGAACTCGAAAACTAACGAGTGCCAGAAATATAACAAAATTGAAGAAACGTGCACTTGATACAAAAAATCCTATTTTTATGATTAATGCAGTGGATGTAAGATATTATTTTGATTTTATATAAAGGTAGCATATTTTTATATTTGTTACATAGAAAGTAGCTATGGTTGATACGTCCTTTTTCAAGTCCACTAATACAAGTCGTAAAAATTGTAAAATAAATTTAAAACCATCAACTGATGAAAATAAATGTGGCTCATTATATCAACGATTTCCTATATGCGTTGGAGCACGGGTTCTTATTAGGAGAAATATTGATCAGGAAAACTATATTGTTAATGGCACTGATGCTATAGTTAAAGAAATAGTTTGGGAAGATCCAAGAGATTTTCTTACAGCACCAGTAGCATCGAATAATATTTTTTCAGAGTTAACGAATGTAGTTAATACGAAATTACCAAAATATGTGGAGTTAGGTAAAACTACATGAGCTATAGATATATTATCTAATAATAAAAACTTGATATGTAGAATTATCTAATGGTCAAAGATATAAATTAGAACCACAAGAAACACGATTTAATTATATGAATAATGTTGTTATGACACGTTTACAATTATCACTTGCTCTCGGTTATGCTATTACAATATATCGTACTCAATGTATGACGTATTCAAAATTAGTGATCGATCTTAGTGGTAAATATTGGAAACCTGGAATGTTCTACACTGTTGTTAGTAGAACTCGTCGTAGTACAGATATAATCATACTAGCGTATGATCGAAAATCTTTCAAAGTATAGTGTATCGAATAAACTTGTTGGCATAACTAAAAAATTATGAAGTATGTTTCAATAGAAGGCCTGAACGAAATTGAACGTTTACAAAGAATAGAAAGAGAGCATCCTATCAAAATTGATGATTATTTAAATGTATGTGTGAGTATATGATAAATAATTACTAAAATATTATTGTGATAAACATTTAGAATTTTGATGTTCCTGTACCGAACGTCTCATCCATCGATGTTTTAATAAAAGAAGAAACAAATAAGAAATGCAAAGATCATTTGACATGTACTAATAATAAACGACGTAAAACATCAACAAATATCAATAATAATATTCACAATAACATTTATAATGGTGATATTCATCCAGAAGATGCTATAGTTTGTGAAGAACAACAACTACTCTCCTGTGGACGACATGCTCTTAGAGCATTCGTACAAAATTTAGACAAATTCGATGATAGTTCCTTAATTAGTATAGGACAAGAACTTGCAACTCAAGAATTATTAATTCATGAACAAGAACGTATTAATCAAGATATTTATTACAGCATCGAAGATGGATTTTATCACATTGAAGTTATCCAAAATGCTCTTCGACGGGAGTTTAATATTGAGCTTATTCAATTAGAAGCACTTAATCGAACCGCTCATTTTATATACGAAGTGATCATGAATAATATTCATGATGTACAAGCGTTTTTTATTCATAAAGGTAACCATTACTTTTGCGTTCGACGTTTCGATAACACTGTTGATTATTTTTTTATCATTGATTCACTTTCACCGAATATGCATAAAACAATTCCACGCAATCGTATTCTGGATTATATAGAATATCTATCCAAAAATGATGGTTTAATTTATATACCTGTTTCTGCTCATCTTCTACAGATGCATTCTATTCCATCGGATTTATTACATTCTGTACTCCACCCACTACCAACATGCGATGCAGATCAAGTTGTTTTTACTGTGAATGAAAGAACAAATTTCACTTTTAGTTAAAAAAACATAAATAATAAACAAGATATCTAATAGAAACATATTACATATTTAATATCCATGTCTAACAAGTTTATGACCAAATAAACTTTCTATTTTTTTCTTTTAATGACAAATCTCTATGAGTATATTTTTCTCATATATTCGCTCAGAACTGATTATGTCTTCAACGAATCAATATTTAATTAATTGATTTTGTTTACTGCATATTTTTTTCAGCTGTAGATGAATTTCTCTAATATTTCTTATACATAATTCGAAAATCTATAGATATAAATTTAATATTTATCTAGCATAATATAATTTATTCGCATCTATAATTAGTCAATTATATTTCTATAAGAGATATATAACTAAATTTGTTTTATTTGTAAAAACTCAGCTAATTTTGAAATAATAAATTTAATATGTTGAACAATTAAACATCGTATTTATTATCAATATCTCATAAAAATGAATTTGATTTATTATATAAAAATAATTTGACTGTTTAAATTAAAAAAATTAAAAACTGGAATAGATTTATTTTTATTTTTATTTAAATTCTTATTTGTTCATCATATAAAATAGTAAAATATATTTATTTAATTTTAATCTATTATTATGTTTTATTGCATAAATAAAATATTGTTAATACATTTATTAAATACAGGTATTGTGAACATGTATTTCTTATTCAAAAAGTGAGCGTAGAATAAAGAAATACTATTATCTTTACAATGACAATTAGAGATGAAGATCTTTGGAATGAACCGATATAAAAAAATGGTGTTATGCTAGAAATATTAAGGAAGCCTATTGAGATTAACTTTGAAAATTATAATCATTTATAAACTATCCTTTTACGAATTCAACTTTTTTTATCGTAATTAGTTATTTTTTTCTATCCGTCATTGAGATTCGATTAGAATCAATAAATCTAGATAAAGATATGATTTTTCTCATATTATGTCGTGCACTGATAATTGATTAAACTTCGTTATTACTATTGGAAAGAATGATGATTTTTTAGGTAAAACGAGCAAAATAAATCAAGTGCTGCGAATAATTTAACAATGTATTTTTAGTTATATTTTTCTTTTTGTTTTCACATGAGTAATTAAATACGCATTTTAATTGTCCTATACTATATTTTGTTTCATGAGATGAAAAAGCAACGTAGTTTACGTCCACTATTTAGTAATTTCAATCGTAATTACTAAGATAATCAGTATTGTTCAGTCAGTTGTACTATGCTGTATACAAGTACATGAAGTAAAATCATTGTCCATTCCAGTAGTCTTTGTTTACAGGCTAACAAGTGTGCATACATTCTTGATGTCTCTTTATACTTGTTAATGTGATGAATTTTCGGAAGTGTAATTTCTGTATCTTTATTTTTAAGACAAACACAAAATCACATTTTATTCTCCGATCCACCCAGTTCGAATAACCTATTTTGTATTTGATGAACTTTGACTTTATATTCGTTAAAAGAATTACACTCGATAAATTTTTATAAGTTTGTCTAGTTAATATTTTACAATCCGTACCAATTGTAGAGAATCATTCAAACAATGCAGTCAGTTTAATGAAATCTTAGATGTTTCTAGTTATTTTCTTTAGTTTGGTATATTCTCACTTATTTCTAGCTATTTTTGAGCATCCTCGATAGTTTTTATTAAATACCAGAAATTTTAGTTATTTTCGGTTACATGTACTAATATCCAGCAATTTCTACCTATTTTTAACAGTTTTTCCTTATTTTCAAAGAATTTCAGCAATTTCTAACGATTGTTGATCAATTTCGGTTATTTTTAATAAGATTGCAGCAATTTATAGCTATATTTAATCATTTTCGGCTATTTGTGCTCCAATTTAATTAATTAATAGGTATTTTTGACAGTTTTGGTTATTTCTTTTAAATTTATAGCAATATATAGCTATTTTTGGCGCTTTCTTACTGCTTTTATTAAAACTTTAGCGGGTGTGGGTGTGGGTGTGGATATAATGTTGGTGAATCAGCAAGATAATATAAGTATTAGATGAGTAAGTAAAAATGTTTTAATTATTTTAATAAATTTTTATATTATTTTTAATATTTTATGTATATATATAGATATATATATATACGTATTTAAGCGAAATGGAATTTGAAGAAGAAAAATAAAGATAAAGATAAACAAGAAATAAGTAGATATGAATAAATAAATAAAGAAGTAAGTAAAGAAATAAAGAAATAAATGAAGTAATAGATATGAGTAGTGACGAGAGTAGAAAAAATAATAATAAGATAAATTTAATGTTTTTTTTAAATAATTTTATTTGAAATAAATAAACAAATAAATAATTTTAATACAAATGTGACGCGTTTCGAATATTGATTCTCTTCAGACAATATCTATCTGCTCAATTCTATTTCCTTTTATACCTTTTCGTTGTCTATTTTCTACTGTCTATTGTCTACTCTCGTCTAATTCTTCTACAATAACTTCTCATTAGGTCAATTTGTTATCTTTTATCTATTCAACTCAAAAATGTAGATGAGGGATTAATGGTCAACTCATGGGGATAACTAATCACTACTATATCCTTATTACAAAAAAAAATGTTTTACAAAAATTAAACATATAAAAAAAACATATAAGAAAAAACTACAAAATAATTATAATGTTCATCGATGAATCGAGGTTATCGATGATATATCTGAAACATAAAAAAGAAAGAAACAAGCGCGAATATCTTTATTCTTGTATTTGTTCAACTATATGTTTAACTACTGATTTTGATGGTTTTTTATGTACTAGAATATTTTTCAAATTATCTGTTAATTTATGTGCAAAAATAACTGAAATGTCACTAAGAGGAGTATGTTCCAATATCTCGTTCCATAGTGAATGAAATTTTGCCCCGAAACTTGATAAACTAGGTGTGTAGGTAAAATGTGCTAAAATATCATTATTAAAATCGATTCTCTTTTTTTCTGGTTTTTTATTCCAATTTGGATCTAAAACTTGATCTCTATACTCACTGTGCTTATTTCCCAAAAGTAAAGTTAAATCATTTTTACCTGTTAATGTACTATAAAAACGCCTAAAATGTGCTTCAATAAAATTGGACGGATACTTATTTAATAAAAGGGTGACTCTAATTTTTTCTATCTCTTCTTCTAAATCAGACTTATGTGAACATATCCTAACTGCCCTCATTATTGCTGAAAAGGGGATATTTTTAAGTACATGCGGCGGATGTGCAGAATTAAACGGTAAAATATAAGGTTGAGCAGCTAACTTCCGAAAAATCTTAGTTCTAAATTTTGGTGCTTCTATACTCACTCTAACATCTAAATAGTCAACGTACTTACCTGTTTCATATGTTAAACCTATATTTTTATCAATTTTACCTAATTCTTCTAAAATTTGATTCATTTCTATTTTGGTTTTTTTAGTAGTGAGAAAAATATCGTCACGAAATCGGAAATATAATTCTCCTTCTGCAATTTGTTTTTCCCTAAGAGATTTCTCCCATTTTCTCATGTAAATATCCGCTAAAACTTGCGTACACTCTGACCCCATGGGTCCTCCTCTGATTTGCTTAAAATATTTGGGTCTTTGACCCGGTAACTGTAAAACAAAAAAAGCATTATCTAGAACATGTTTAAAAAGAATTCTCACAGTATTAATCGGGATTTCTCCATTGACTTTAAAAATATTATTTTCCCCTAAAAATTCGCAAATGGCCAAAATTGATTCCTGCTGCGGAATCATAGTGTATAAGTCACAAATATCGAATGTATATAAAAGAGTCTGTTCTGTAGTTCCATGGTTTTTTAGCTGCTTCAAAAATTCTATACTACTTGTCAAACTATATGGGGTACTTTTATCAAAAATGGGGCGCATAATTTGATCAAGAAAAGCCGAGATTTTTTGTGTTGGAGATTTTATTCCTGAAACTATTGGTCGGAGTCACTGGATGACGTAAATGAATTACAGAATAATTCATAAAATTGAATTCCAAAATAATTCAAACTTCTATGAAGTATATGACTATATAACTATACATATACAACTATATAGACATAGTTATATATATTTATATATATATATATACTAATTATATTGACCAGGGTCTACAAGGGTCTACAGGGTCTACCAGGGTCTACAGGGTCTACCAGGGTCTACAAGGGTCTACCAGGGTCTACA